CCCCAAAACCCCAAAACCCCAAAACCCCATCGTAGAAAATAGTTGATTAATAGGTTATAAATGAAAATGATAGATGACTAAAAAAGTGTAATTATATAGCAGGTAATTATTAAGATTTATCAACATATAATCTCAAACATATAAAATGGGTTGTAAAACTTCGAAAGCAACCATCTACAGTGTCAAAGATCGGCGGTAGTTTATAGGCAATTCGATAACAGTCAAATCAGAGAGATCACTCTACCTATCAAGCGATGATACTAGAGGCAATATAAACAATATACCTTAAAATTAGAAGGAATTATCAGAGATTAATATTTATACATCACCTTAAACATCAATAATTTAACAATCAAGGAAGAGTAAACAGCTATAAGAAGTATAGGTACTTAATAATCAATAATTAGTAAAGAATTTTCGAATTTAAAAACGAAAAGCTGTTGATGATGATTCCAATTCAGATAGGTATATAGTAAGCAAGAATTACTCAAAAAGCAATGATAGAGTGAATCATAAAGTAAAGGTAGCAGCACTAGAAGTGAAGGGAAAACAGCAAAGCTAATAGCGAACTAGCAAAATTAAGAACGATCATCAAAATACAAAATACCAACAATAAAAATGTAGCTTAATTAGACAAAAATAACCATTAGTATCTGAATACGATTGTGAGGTCTCCTCGTTATAGCAGAATTAGATTAAACCAGGAGGTATAATAGTATTCACAAAGGAACCATACCTTAAATAGACTCATTCTAAAAAGGAAAACAATAATAAATAAGACTAATCTTCATCATATTTAGAGGAGCCGAAGAATGTCCTAAAAAAAATATTCGACAAAACAAAAGAGCAAGAATTCATTTAAAATACCTGTAAGTTATATTTTTTTAAAAAAAACAACAATATTGAAGGATACTATTCAGTTACTTTCTTTTTTTCATTCTAGTACTAATTTAATGTCTTTTTATAGTTTTCTAATACACGAATTTGGAGTAAACTACAGTTACGAACAATAATTTGAACACTTAAACGAGGAAACAAGATTCATACTTGGAGAAATCAATATACGAAAGTGATGATAATATCTAAAGCAGTTATCGACCAGCCAATCTTAAGAATCTTCAAAGAAATTATTCTCCATTATCTTAAAGAGTCAGTCACGAAAATTTATAAATGAATGTCTAGCCAGAAAGACAATTCACTGTCAAAGATTCAAAGAAATAGTCTGTAATAAAAAGTGAGAGTGAGTAAAGTCTAGATAAAGACTCATCAAAGTCAATTCAATCTGAGGACAATTAATCCTAAACACTCCCTAAAATATAGATAAATCCTAACCCTCCTTAATTCTAGGAGTTTTAAGAAGATCCGAAACCCCGAATTTCCAGAATTTAAAGACTTAGTAAGAAGTTAGAACACCACAATATAGCTTGTTTACCAGCTATTAATAGATCATCTTATTAAGGACAGCAAGAAGCTTAAGTTTAGCCATTAATAAGAATAACACAAATTATTGAATTAAGTCAATCTTAATAAAATCCTTAGATACTTTTGCATTCTTAAAATTCAGTTAACTTAGTCCAAAATAGTGTACTGAACAGCCAAAATATTCTTCATCCACTTAGAGGATCTTAGTTGAGTGATAACTAGAGTCCAAATAAAGCAAGGACAATGAGACCTTGAGTGAATTCAGAAAGCGGACCAGCTCAATGCAGCATTTAAAGAAATAAATTAAAACAGGAGCAAGAAAGTACTATAAATTAAATTAGGAACATTAATAAATCAATGATAAATAATTCTTTGGTATAATTATGCGAAGGTCAAAATACCAAACAATATTAAAGCATTGCTTAAACAGAGTGTAGGAACAAATCAATGAATTAGAGAATAATGACTTAAAGGGAAAGATTAATTTATAATCATTAAACACAAAAGGTTAATAATCTCCAGAATAATCTAGAAATAGAATAAGTACTGAGAAACTCTAAAACTTAATTAGAGGATTAAAGAAAGTAACTAATTGAGCAAGAAATCAAGATGAAGATTTTGGCTCATTAGTAAAAAAAAGATTAAGAATCAAGAAAAAGCTATAAGAGGCGAAGTAGTAAAGCAATTAGACTATCATGCAACTCTTAAAATGTCTCGAGAACATCATAGTTTAATCCATTAAACAAATAGTTAGAATAAATAAGAGCATCTGAGTCAGATTTTTCTGAAAATAGCCAATATTAAAATGTTCTATGTGATGGCATTAAGTCATACTAAGCGATAGAGCCAATGAAAATAATTATTTCCAACTAAAATGCTGATGAGAGGAAAAGAGAAAGTGTAAGGAATAATTAGTAACTACCATCGAATTTTATATAAAAACTTGAGGCTTCATAAGGTGGAACTGTAGGTGGAGAGATTTTACTTGATAGTTTTATGCTTAAGAGTTCTGAAATGAATAATAATTATACTTAGTATTCTGGCATAGGATCTTACTTTATTACTAGTCAAAATTAATCAATAGCAGATACAAGGCAAGGCAATTATAATCCTTGCGCTTCGTAAATGGATAGGACATTCCAAGATGAAAATCCAATTATTATTTCAGATAGTGAAGAAGATGGTTCAATATCTGGACCAGATGTTGAACATTAAGATTCATTACCAAAAAGAGGTAACTCTTAAAGAATTGAAGTTCTGCAAATCAATGAAAATAATTATGGAATCAGCCCTTCAAATAATGCTGATAGGAAATAAATTTCAGGAAATCTCACAACAAAAAATGTTGACTATCATTATAATTTCAAGTATTCATCAGCAAGTAATTAAAATAAATACTAATTGTCAAACATGAATGGATCTTCAGCAAGTGTTTTATACAACTACTTAAAAGGAGGGTCATCTTCTGATCATATTAATAAAACCTTTGCTAGTGGTCAGGTGTCTCGAAAAGCTAGCTCCTAATTAAGAGTAGTAAAATTCAAAAATAGCAATACTCTTATTAGTAGAGGTAGTACTTCGAAAGAAGTTGATAAGTATTTACAGAGATTAAATAATTACGAAGACGATGAATATTGGAAGAATAAGCCTACGATTCTAGAGCCTTAAAAATATAGGCTTAGCATAACTGATATGAAATTCGACTTTTGAAAATAATTTCTGCAGCCTTAATTAATCTGGAGTAAAAAAATGAAACTGAAGTATTTCTCTTAATGATTCAGTCACTGGGACTTAAAAGTATTAAAAACCCATATGTGTCTTAGGAGGAATACAGGCCATTTACATTCATCATATTTATATCTCAATAATTTATTTTTATTAAATTGTTGCATAAACAAAATTACAGAAAACATCTCAGTTGGGGTTTTGGGGTTTTGGGGTTTTGGGGTTTTGGGG